AACGTATCCATATTTTTTCTAATTTTTTTATGGAGTTTTACTATTTTTTATTAATTTTTAAAAAAAAAATTTAAAAAAAATTCTTATTTTTTATTTTATAAAAATTTTATTAATTTTTTTATTATTTTTCTACGAATTATTGAAATTTTTCGAATTTATTATGAATTAAACATTTAATTATGACTTTTAGCTATCTTTTACTAATATTTAAAGGAGGGGTAAGAATGGAAGGAAGAAATGAGTATGTTTCCAATAGGACCACTATGGTCCTATTTTGAAAAAAAAACATAACAAGTCCTATTTTGAGTTTTTGTCATAGTTTTAGTCCTATTTGAAGTAATTTCTATTCTTCTTATGCTACACTAGTTACATAGGTAACTAGTTCAAACTGTCGAGTCAAAGTACTTGACACTCAAACATTTGTATATTTCAAAGCCTATTTCAAAATAATACATGCTTTTATTCTCAAAATAGAATTATATGTTATCATGTTTTGGCAGTATCAAATTTTAAATATAGTAGTATTTTTTAGACTTGGCAGTATTTTGAAAATAAAAATATGACAATCCTAATTTGGAATTTTCAAACTTTTTACTCTTATTTCGGAACTTTTCCCATATTTTATCTGAAAAGTGGATGTAGAATATATGTAAATATAAATCATATACTCTATCCTCTCTTTAAAGTCATTCATGTATGCCTTTTTAAGAATTTTCTAAATAAATTTTTCTTTCATTATCAACAATGACTAGCTAAACACATTATAGCTACGGTGTGTCTTGAGCTGCGATGCTGTGAAGCAATCAAACTTTTGTCTCTCTAGGGTGGATTTTCACCGCTAGGGTTTTCTTCTCCGCTATCGACTCTTTTGAGGAGCGGCCGTCTTCCCTACACTAGTAAGGGTTTTTTTGTTCCGTCGATCGATCTTCGTTCGTGCGTCTGGTTTTTTTGTGGAACCCTTCGTGCGGTTTTCCTCTTTGGAGTTTCGGAACGTGAGTGGAACGCAAGGGCGGTGGAGTGCGGCTTGGATTTTTTGTGCGCGAAGAAATGCAAGGCAAAATGAAAGAGTTTTCTTCTGCACCTCGGATATGGATTTCAATGGCAAATCTCAAGGAGCAAATTGGCGAGCGCAAGAAGGATAGGGTTTCAGACGAATTTTCCCGGGGTTGAAATTCTTTTCTACCATACTACAGCAGCTCGCCCTCCTTCGGAACCACCTTCATGCAAGGAAGCAATTTGGGGAAAGTTTTTATTTTCTTATTATTTTTCCTTTCGTAGTACTTATTTTTATTTCAGTTCGAGCAGGTATTTTTGGAGTATTTTGATTTTTGAAGAACTCTTGATAGGCAGTACTTCATTTTTGATGGTTTTTGTGACACCGCACCCGGATGCACTTGAATTTAAAATTCTACATGTATTTGAATTTTCCTAGTGAGCATCTTTGTGTAAAAGAATGTTATATTTAATTAATGAATGATTAATTAAATTATTTATCGGGCCCATAATAATGAGAATGGACTACTAAATATTTAGTTGGGTCATCGTAAAAATTATAAAAGCTCAAATAAAATGCCAACTGAAGTTGAGGAAAATGTTTGGACAACCCAAGTGCTATTTTTGACCCAACCTACCAAAAATAGTAATAATGATGGGGGACTTCCTACACCCACTTGGGGTATTCTATACTCTTTAGACTCTCAAATAATAAGAGAGAGGGACAACTTGGTGTGCTCATACATACTAGAAGGGGAAGAAGTCTCCTAGAGACAAAATGGCCATACCCCCTTGTCCTACCCATGGCATCTTTTCTCATTGATTGAGAGGAGATGTCTCCTGCCTATCATTGCATATTTCGGCCAGCACAAGAGAGGAGAGCTCAAGGAAAACCAAAGCTCTCAAGGAGAAATCCACAAGAAATAGTTTGTGTTCAAGGTAAGAACTCTACCTATATTCTTTAACTAGTTTTTGTGTATGTTTTTTAAGAAATCATATAGTAGATTAAACATGAGGTTCTACACGTTTAAAAGGGTAGAATATTGTTATAAAGTGGTGGTATTTAACTTAGAAGTGTCGTGGAATCAATAGGAGTTGAAGTCGCTGGAAACCGCCAAGAATAAGGGAGCTGCCTGTGTTGCAGACAGACGAACAACGCTCAGCTTCCACAAAAGCCGGCCGGCTTTTGTCCTACAATCATGATTTTTGCTTTCAATCGATTTAGAAGGGGGATTGATCGAATGGTTTAACAAAGGCAACTATTGTAGCACTTCATAAGGTGAGGATGACTGACTATATTGCTTATAATTGTTGGGTTAATTTCATAAGGTTACCTAAGGAAGTAAAAATGTGATTTTCATGGATTATTAATGATTAATAATGCCTAAATGAAAACATTATTGTCTATGAGTAGAAAATGCATGATATAAAAATTTATGAATAAATTGTGTATGATTATGTGTTATGAATATGATGGCATGATGGTTGTATCTACCGTGAATTATTGTGGTAAAATATACTTTTACTTCATGTATAGAATTCATGAATGGATAAAAGTGATATTTTTTATATTAAGATTAAATTATATTTGGATTGTAAAATCAATTGAAATGAACTACATGACTATGAAATGAGAAACGTGGTTGTTCTAATGTTAAGCGACTATTATTGAAATACTAGTCGGGATGATAATACAAATAAATGAACTAATAAATCCTAAGATATTGGATTTGTGAGGAGTCATGCCTTAAGTAGTCTTAAGAGATACTTTAAGGTGACATTGTATGAGCTCTAAGTTATGTTAGGAGTATACCTTAAAGGCTACTCAAAATGAATTGAGTCTAGGCTAAGGAATTGTTTAGAGAATTTATAACGTGACTAAGAGCGAGACTCTAGCACGTCGTAGCGGTGACTAAGAGCAAGGCTCTAGCCCGACGTGGGATGACTAAGAGCAAGGCTCTAGCACAACATAATGTGACTAGGAGCAAGACTCTAGCATGAAGTAGTGCGACTACGAGCAAGGCTCTAGCGCGGTGAAATGGTAATAAAGGAACGTGGTTCAACTATAGTGTAATAACGCGTTAGGGTGAAGCCCTAGAACGGCGTAACGATTTATTAAGTGTTTGTGATAATCGTGACTTGTGGTCACGGGGGAATAGAGATGGACGCTTTCCAAAACTAATATGGGCCCACGGACAGGCTACTTGACTTTATATATAAAGTAAGTATATTTTCGAACAGGGTAATGAAAGGTTACGACATATAATAATATAATATCACCCTAGATTGAGGGTCTTAGAAATTGAAACTTTGATTATATACAGTGTAGTTGTCATTGTACTTTTCAAATGCTTCAAAGTATTGACCTCCCCTTCATGGGGGAGGCCACCTCACAGTTTCAGGTAGAACTTGAAGGTTGCTACCACCACCCGTTGCTTTGGGGAGATCAAGGGAAGAAGACTTGGTTAGTGCTTCTTATGTTCCTATTTTAAAAATAATATGAATAATGCTCATGATTAATATTTTCCGAAAAATTATTTGGGGGCTTGTATGCCCAAGTTTGCCAAATGTGGTTTGAACACTTGTATTACTGTTTTCGCTGCTTTAATGAATATTTTACATTATGTTTGTTTATGAATGTACTACGTGTGAATGATATTCCAGATGCCTCATATGGTATGGATGTGTTGGATTGCGGTTAACTATTCGTATTGTACGACGGGTTGTTGACGTGTCCGGGCAGGTCCAAGGCGTGACAGTTTTAGGCTTCTTCTTGCCCGTTTTGTGTCTAGCGAGTCAGGTTGCTTTGTTTGGGTGACTGACTCTAAGTCTATTCCTAGTGTTTACGATTGGGTCTGTAATAACTGTCTGGATTTTGTCTTGCATGTTTGCTCTATATTAATGAAAACCGTTTTGATGATAAAAAAACACATTATAGCTATGCTTGCCACATCAACTTTTTCTAAGTAATTCATTTTCAGGAATGTTACAATCCAATAGTTTAAAAAAAGGCTAAAAGGTTAAATAGGCCCTTGAACTGACATAAAGTGTTCAATTAACCCCTTATATAGGAGGTTCTGCTCGGCCGTCGCTAATTGGGGCGGTTTCCGGTGGAATTTTTTGATGAAATTTTTTGAGCATGTTCTTCATTAAGTCTAGTTTATCCATACCAAATTTCAGCTAAAATTTCAAACGGGAAGGCAGTCAAATGATTTTCCAAAATGTACTGCACTATTTAACTTCGCAATTATCTTCAAAAATCATTTGAGTGCCTTCCCGTTTGAAATTTTAGCTGAAATTTGGTATGGATAAACTAGACTTAATGAAGAAGATGCTCAAAAAAATTCATCAAAAAATTCCACCGGGAACCACCCCAATTGGCGACGGCCGGGCAAAACCTCTTATATAAGGGGCTAATTGAACACTTTAAGTCAATTCAAGGGCCTATTTGACCCTTTAGCCTTTAAAAAAGATAGTCCAATAGTTAACCACAATGTTTGCCTCTTGAATATGCCCCACAAATCAATCAATATATGAAAATAAACATTTTGAATGAATTGATTTATAATATATGGAGTGATAAAAACAATACTCATTTTGAAATATTTTCAAATTCTTAAAATGCAATGATATTTTTAAACCCTTAAATTATAAGTGTTATTATTATTATAACGAGCATAATTTGAAAATGCATATTTTTAAAATTCGTACAAAATATGTATTTTGTAAATAAAAAAATAAGGAATAAATTTTTTTAGCAGCACATACATACTGAAAAATATCAACTTTAAATATTTCATGAGAAAATTGAACGTTTTTTGAAATCAACAAAGCAAAAGCATTAAATAAAATACATATACTAAATTAAACAATATCAATTCAAATTTGGTAATTACCATTTTAATTCAAATTTTCCTCCTTTCTAGCAAGAAGTTTTGTTTGGCTAATTTGCCTGTCCAAACTAGAAGGAAAGATGCACCACAGGCTAATTGATTCAAAAACCCTTACCACCCATATCGTGTTTATCAAAGTGCATCGAACTAAAAAAAAACACAATGCTCAAAATTTGAAGCAGTAACCCTGAAGGCGCGAAGCGAGAAGAGTAACTACAAGGATTTAAAAATACTGAGCCATCAACACCAAGTCTTGAAACACCTCCCCTTGGTGTGACTAAGCCCGCAAAACCATCTCAATCAGCTTGACACGAACAATATGTATTTGCATTGCACCACTTTTACCTATACCATAGGATCTTCGGTAGGCACCCTGACTTCACTCAGGTAACATTATGCAGAGAGATAACTAGTATTCCACGCAGCGAACCCACATTGCCCGTCTGCTCTTCATTTTTTGTTTCCTTCTGCTCTTTCTCCATACCGCTACATCTGAACTCTTCGTTCGTCTTCATCTGACTGCGCTTCTGTTCGTCCCAGTTTCTCGAAATCTCTCCCTCTATTGTGTGCTCCTGCATTAATAAGTTAGTTAGTATCCTCTTTTCCTTTATCTCCCCTCTGGATCATTGGAGCTGCCATCCAATACCACATTCTTTCATCACCAGTCCCACACCTTGCGGTCTCGTTAAAGGGTGTCCCTCTCCTCCCACCTGCTTAACTTCTTCACCTTCATTGCCTGTGCTACCCCCTATCCCCTTTCAGACACTAGCCGTTTATTTCCTACCACGAACCTTCCTTTTCCATACAGTTCAATCACATCTAGGAAGCATAGGCTTTGCACTTTCTCTCTCGCAGCGAATCACATTCACGCCTCTTCAAAGATTTTCCATATCCAGTAAAACTCGTGATCTCACATAGACGGTAGATCTTCCATGCCCATTCAAAATGATACTCAACGCAAACAAATCTGCGAACATAGCCACCCTGTTCATCGTAATCTCATAAGAAGATCATACACTTTCATTCACAATCCTGCATGAACCGGGAACTTTAAGCAGTAAATCTTCCCCTCTTAAAAGGTTATGATCTAATAACCATGGCTCATCCGCCATAATATGATTCAAATAATTTTCTAACTGCAGCCATGGTGTCTGCCAAAATATGATTCAAATAATCTTCCCCTCATACGTACCAACCATAGCCATATGTAGTTCGGTAATTACCCCTTATCTTCCTCCCTCATCAGTCTCGAACACTACTGCCTCTTCTCTTTACCCGATTGTAAAAGACTTAAAGCAAGTGGTCACAAGCCTTTGTGGGAAACTTTATTTCCGCTACCTGTAACTGGTCACAAAGCCTTCACATGTACTTAGACAGAGATTCCAAAAGCAAGTGCCAAGTTCAGGTTTAGCATCACCTCGTTTCAACAATCTTTAAGTGATTAGTAGTACTCTTTGGAATTACATTTGTCCCATTTAAGATAATAATTACTTCATAAGTATTCTACAACTTTATTTTATTAAAGAAAATATTCTAGTAAAGCCTTAATTAGTACGGAGTATGTTTAAAGACTTAAACAGTATGTTTAATATACTAGAAAAGTATGTTTAAAGCCTTAATTAGTAATAATATTCTCATCATACTTTTGTCTTTAAAATTAGCTGTAGTATGGTGTACAACTAGTTGAATTTGATAAGATAGTGGATGTATACTGTACACATACGGAATTCTTATATAGTCTAGTAAACAGGATTACTCTTCCCTGAAGAAAAGGCTCCTTGAATATGGCCTTCCTCTGTTTTTTTCTTCTGCTTTGTCTCTTCGACTCAGTGTCCTATTCCGGTAAGTATCAAGTAATTAAACTCGCAGTTTTGGAACTAGTCTTATCGAACTCATTTATTGATTATTTTCTTCTTCATTTATGAATTTCAGGAGCAGAACTTACCCGCGGAATAGGAATATGCTACGGTCAACTGGGGAGTGATCTTCCCGTCCCTGCAAAATCCGTGGAGCTCATTAATGGCCTCAAGGCGGAGCAGGTCAAGATCTACGACGTCAACCCGGATATCCTCAAATCTCTTCAAGGATCCGACCTCCACGTCTCCGTCATGCTCCCCAACGAACTCATCCCCAATGTCTCCTCCAGCCAGACCTTCTCAGACCAGTGGGTTCACACCAATCTCGTCCCCTTTTACCCTCGAACCATGATCCGCCACCTCCTAGTCGGAAATGAGATTCTGAGCAGCCAGCCGAACAGTACCTGGTTCCATCTCGTCCCCGCTATGCGCAATCTCCGACGATCCGTCCGGAAATATCGGCTCCACAAGGTCAAAGTGGGTACCCCTCTGGCTATGGATATGTTGGAGACGTCGTTTCCGCCGTCGAATGGAAGTTTCCGGTCGGATATCACCGATAGTGTTTTCAGGCCTCTGCTAAGCTTCTTGGCCGATTCAAGGTCCTTCTTCTTCTTCGATGTGTACCCGTATTTCGCTTGGGCAGCTCAACCCGACGAAATTGACCTTGACTACACTCTGATGAAGAATACGAATAGGACGTATTCGGATCCGGGTTCGGGTTTGACTTACACGAATTTGTTGGACCAAATGATTGATTCGGTCTATTTCGCCCTGAAGCGACTCGGGCACCCGGATCTTCCCCTGTTTATCGCGGAAACGGGTTGGCCCAGCGCGGGCGACCCCGACCAAATCGGATCGAATATTTACAACGCCGCCACTTACAACCGCAATGTCGTGAAGAAGTTCAGCTCTAAGCCACTGGTGGGGACGCCGGCCAGGCCGGGGGTGGCCGTGCCGGCGTTCATTTTCGCTTTGTACAACGAGAATCAGAAGCCGGGTGCGGGAACGGAGCGGCATTTCGGGCTGTTATACCCGAACGGCACGAACGTGTACGAAATTGATCTGTCCGGCAAGACGCCGGAGTCGGAATTCAAGCCGCTTCCGAAGCCTACGAATAACAAGCCATTTGGAGGGAAATTGTGGTGCGTGGTGAATACGAAGCAGTCCGTGAATAAGACGGCGTTGACCGCCGCATTGGATTACGCATGCGGGCAGGGTAATGGGACCTGCGACGCGATCCGACCCGGTGGAAAATGTTACCAGCCGAACGATCTGATCCGCCATGCCAGCTATGCTTTTAGTGCTTACTGGGCACAGTTTAAACGCATAGGTGGGACCTGCAGCTTCAATGGCATTGCTAATTCCACGACTAAGGACCCTAGTAAGTGCCCTAATTAAGCACTAATTACTTCATTATGTGCCATCCAATTTGACCTAGTAAGTGCCCTAATTAAGCACTAATTTCTTCATTATATGCCATCCAATTCGACCTATTAAGTGCCCTAATTAAGCACTAACTACTTCATTATGTGTCATCCAATTCGGTCTGCAAAAAACTAGATTACACCGTTTTAAATTGTGAATCGAAACACGTGTTACTATTGTAATATTGCGTTTGCGGCCCGCAGCGTAATCGTATCACTCTCCAATTGCATTGTTTTTTTACTCACGACAAAAACCACAATGCAATTGCATTCACAACGCATTAGGTCGCAACACTAAATTAATTTTTTTTCTTATTTTGTTCAAAGGCAAAATGAATTCGCACCACAGCAGTCATAATTAGGAATGGGCATATTGGTTTTCGGTTCATCTTTTATTGGTTTCGGTTTGGAAGAGGTTGGATTTTTGGAAGAATTAGTACCAAACAAAAATCATACGGAGTACTATTTTTCGAATTGGTTTGGTTCAGTTTAGTTCGGTTATGTTCAGTTTGGATTTGTTATTTGTAAATAAAATATTAAGATTTTATTGAATTTCTTTAGTTTGGTTCGGTTTTGTTCTGTTTTTATCGGTTTCGGTTCGGTTTAATATGATTTGGAAGAAATACTACTAAACTCAAATTGAATTGCACATGGTCCGGTTTCGATTTAATTCGGTTTAGTACGGTTAAACCAAACCAATATACACACCCCTAATCATAATACTTGCAATCGTAGTATTCACAACCGCAATCCCAATGTAAAATCATGCTGGAGCCTTCTGGTTTCTGATGAAATTTCTAATAGCAAAAATGTTGACTTAGGTGGTGTGAAAGAACAAAAGTGAGTAATAGAAATACGGTTTGAAATAATTTGATCTCATGTGATTGCTTTTTGAAAATATTAATGTTTTTCCACTTGCAAAGTCAGCCGTTATATTTTGTCATTTTTTCTTTTGAAAAAGCGATGAACTACTACGTACATTTTAGCCGTTCTTTCTATTTGTAAACCATAGTACCATTTCGTACTTTTCTGAGAGAGTTCATGTAGAATAATCTAAATTTTATCGAAGCAAAATCATTTCTCCATAAGTTTATTTTCCAGATTGAAGCAAACGAGTTCTGAGAGTAGTCTGATATAAGCTCGTGTTTTGAATAAATACGCAGGCGATAAGGTGTGCAAGTTTCCAAGTGTCCAAAACTGAAGGATTGGACCATGCCAGAGTTATGTACGTGGTGGAACCTACACGATTATATTCTCCAATGATGAACCAAGAACCGGCATTTTGGTGCTCGTGGAATTTTGTCTTTGCTGATGGAGCCTACAAGTGTCAATGAAGAATAATATAATCATCTTTGCTTTGATGATTATATTTTGCATTGTGTTTTTCTTTTTAATATACTTAGAAAGTTGGATTGAGAGTAGAATTGTCACAAATTCATACATGTTATCATTTTTTATATGGACGTCGGGTTTTTCAACCCATGTTAGGTTTCTTGGTACAATAACGTGGTTTATTTGATACAAAATCAAAATTCAATGATATGATAGTGTTAAGTGTTAACTGTTAAGTGGTAAATGAATGATGAAGATGAAATATGAAAGATTAAATGCACGTTTAATCATCCATATAAAAAAATATGATGCATTGAATCTAAGATCTAATGGCTCCAAATATGTTAGATATGCATTATAGTGAGTTATAAACGCAGTGACATTTTTGTAAATAAGTCAAAAAAGATCTTCTTTGCAAAAAGTGGACTTGTGTGCAAAAGAGTATCGTGGATGACAAAAAGTGGATGAAGAAAATCATAAGTGCAATAGTGCATTAATTGGAAAAGAACAATTTTATTAAAAGTAATGGAGGGTACAAAGAGAAAATAAAAAACAGTACAGAAAAAGAAAAATACAAAAGAACAAACAGGGAAATAAAAGAAAGCAAATAATTAGGCCCATGGGAATCGTTGGTCAGAGATCTAGTTCTCATACTGTGACGCCTTTTGTTTTTTTTAGTTTTCTGTGAATTTTGAGCTGGGTGTTTAAATATTCAGTTGGAAGGCAGTCTCCTAAGTAATGAACTGGGATTTTCGGCAAATCGCCCTGTTGAATTTGGAGCCCCTTCTTTCGTCTTGTTCTGAAATAGGTGGTCAACGGTTGCATTCCGTTGTGTGTCCCAGAAAATCGTCTGAAAATTATGATTCTTCCAATGAGTTAAAGCTGTCTGAGGCATCCGAGTAAGCCAGTAAGAGTGGTATAAGAGGTTGTTTCTCGAAGAAATGGGTTGTTGTTTGTCAGCATAGGCTCTTTGAACCTCATAATTGAATATTAGTTTGGAAATTGATGTGATTTCATCAGTGCATGTCGAAAACTTGTGCTCCAGGCCTCCAGATGCATTTATTCTTCCTGCACCGAAGTAGTTAGTCCCACAAAGTTTGAAAAAAATATCCATAAAAACAAGAAGCCCGGAAGTTTGTGGACCCATGTGAACGTTGATGGAGCTCCCCTCATGTTTAGTAATTTTAACATAGTAGTCTGAACTGTTAATTTCAGAAGAAACTATAACACCTGTTGAGGTTTAGTCCCGCAGATCCGAAAGCCCAACACAAACTTTGGATATTAGGAACGTTGGTCTTGCTAAAAAGGTGTATAAAATATAAGATCGCACTTCAAAACTGCTTGTATTAAGTTATTTGCTGATTACACTAAAACAACCCGAACGGAGCTTCGGAACCGTGATTAATACAAGAATTGGAGTGATGATTCTAGGTTCTGAGTATCAAAATGCTAACCCTTTACAATGTAGTTAATGCCTCTATTTAAACTAGAAAGGGGGTAGGTGGGGTGATGACGTGGCTGAACCCGGTTGGCCGCTGCCTTTGCCACTCGAGCACCCATTCTTCCACTAGTCACTGCCATACTCTAGCATTAAATGCTGCCTTGCCACTTGCGGACTCCCCGATCGAGCTCTGGATTCCACAAGCGATGAACAGGTCTGATGCTTTGTTATTTGCTCCAAGTTGGATAATTGGGCCGTTCAGGATATGTCGAACGGTGTCTGTCTTGATGGCTCAATTCCCGTTCGGGATCTCATAACTATGTTCTGAGTTCCTGTTGGGCTTGCCCTTTTCCTTGGGCCCCTCATTTGTTATGGGCCGGGTATTTGTGTCACGCCCCGGGCCTATCCGGACACGTCAACAACCCGCCGTACAGTACGAATAGTCAACCGCGGTCCGACTCATCCATACTATACAAGGCGTCTTGAATACCATTCACACATAGTACATCCATAAACAAGCATAATGTAAAATATTCATTTAAGCAGCGGAAACATTTAATACAAGTGTTTATGCCACACTCGGCAAACATGGGCATACAAGCCCCCGAATGATTATTCAAAAATAATATCCATGAGCATTATTTAGATTGTTTTCAAAACAGAAACGGAAGAAGCACGAACCACGTCTTCTTCCCTTGATCTCCCCGAAGCAACTGGGGGGTGGCAGCAACTCTTCAAGTTCTACCTGAAACTGTGAGGTGGCCTCCCCCGTGAAGGGGAGGTCAGTACTTGGAAGCATTTGACAAGTACAATGACAACTATACTAAGTATAATCAATGTTTCAATTTCTTAAGACCCTCAAATAGAGTGATATTATATCGTAGGCCGTAACCCCCGGTTACCCTGTTTTATAAATATACTTACTTTATATAAAGTCAAGTAGTCGGCCCGTGGGCCCATATTCATTTAGAATTTACCATTTTCACTTTCCGTGACCATGAGTCACGACAACCCCATAGGGTTCCCTCGAGTCCCGATTGTATAGCAAGGGCTCGGCCCAACTACATTTCTATACAATCCTTTAACTCAATTTAATATATCTAAATTTGTATGGCAAGGGCTCGGCCCAACTACGTTTCCATACCAACCATAACTTCATGGCAAGGGCTCGGCCCAACTATGTTTCCATGAAGATCACAATGCATCTCAAGGGCTCGGCCCAACTACGTTTCCATGCTAATCACGTTACATGGCAAGGGCTCGGCCCAACTACATTTCCATGTAATCCTAGAGTCCGACTCTAATTTATTTTCATAGCTCAATTCTCAAGCAAATCCTATGCCTAGAATCAATTCACTTGGATAGCCTTTAGGCCTACCCCTAACACACCTTAGTGTTCATACAATTCGACCTTAAAGCATCTCTTAAGACTACTTAAGGCATATCTATTCACAATCCTATCTCTTAGGATTAATTCCATCATTTATTTATATAAATCTCCCGACTAGTATTTCGATACTAGTCGAATAACCTTAGAACAACCAAGTTCTAAATTCATAACCAAATAGTTTATCTCAATTGATTTTCCAATCCAAATATGATTTAATCCCAATATCAAAAATATCACTTTTATCCATTCATGAATTTCATACATGAAGTAAAAGTATATTTTATCACAATTTTCATAGTTAATTCCATTACCATACCATTTCTTTCATATCACATAATCATACACAATTTCTTCCAAATTTGTATATCATGCTTCATTTACTTATAAACAATAATATTTTCATTTAGGCATTATTAATCATTAATAATCCATGAAAATGACATTTAACAACTTTAGGTAATCTCATGAAATTAACCCAAAGATTATAAGCAATATAGTCAGTCATCCTCACCTTATAGAGTGCTTGACTAGTTGCCCTTGCGAAGCCTTTCGACCCGTCCTCGTTCTAGGCCGTTCGAAAGTGAAAAACCTGGACAGCAGGTGAAAGTCGGGCGGCTTTCGTGAAAGCCGGGCGGCTTTCGTAGTCTGCAACTACGAGCAGCTCCTTTGGAGTGGCGGTTTCCGGCGATTTCGACTCCTATCGATTCACCAACTCTTCTAAGTTAATTATCACCACTTTATAACATTATTCTACACTTTTAAACGTGTAGAACTTCATGTTTAATCCAACGTATGATTTCTTAAAAAATCATACAAAATTAATACTAGCTAAAGAACTATTTGAGTTCTTACCTTCCTCCTAGCTAGTTTTCTCTTGGGATTTCCTTTCCCTTTGCTCCTCCCACGTTCAGACCTTGTGAGAGCCTTCTCCCAAAGCTTCTCCCTCTCTTGACTTGGTGCGTATGGTGTAGAATGAAGGGGATGTATCTATCCTCAATCAAACACCAAAAATAATGTAAGGGTGTGGCCAAAGGAGTGATGTTTTGTCTTGTGCAATCCCATCTCCCAATGAGTCCGCCCCTCCCATGTTTAATTGTCTCAAAATCAATATTTTGAGTACACAATACTTGGGGAAAAGTCCCAATTCGGGTATAGGAAGTCTCTCCCAATTATTCTTGTTATTTTTGACAGGTTGGGCCAAACTAGCACTCGGGTTGTCCAAATATTTTTATCAACTTTGGTTGGCACTTTATTGGGCTCCTATAATTATTATGATAACCCAACTAAGTATTTGGTAGCCCAGTCACATATACTGGACCCGACAAATAATTTAATTTATCATGCATTAATTAAATATACCAATCGATTACACGAATTTTATTCGTTAGGAAAATTCAAATACATATCAACTTTCAAATTCGAGTCCATCCGGGTGAGGTGTCACAAGTTCACCCCCCCTTAAAGGGAATTTCGTCCCCGAAATTCACAAATGCTTATTCAAACCGAAATGCATACTGTTCCTTCATCAAGGCTTCCGTTTCCCAAGTTTCTTCTTCAACTCGGTCACTCTTCCAAAGAATTTTAACCATCAGAACTTTCTTGCTCCTCAATTTCTTTACTTGCCTATCAAGTATTCTTACTGGTCGTACGGCATAGTTCAAATCCTCACGTATTTCCACGGGTGGTTTCTCTAACACGTGAGACGGATCCGACATGTATTTCTTTAGCATAGACACATGGAACATGTTATGTATCTTCTCCAATTCCGGAGTCAACTGAAGTCTGTATGCCACGGCCCCAATTCTTTCAAGAATTACAAATGGCCCGATGTAGCGTGGGTTAAGTTTTCCTCGGCTTTGGAATCGGATGATTCCCTTCCAAGGTGAAACTTTCAAGAATACCTCATCTCCCACCTTGAACTCCAAGGCTCTTCGGCGCTTATCGGCATAGCTCTTCTGTCTATCCTGGGCCGCTTTAAGCCTCTCTCGAATCATCTTCACTTTTGACTTGGTGATCTCCACCAACTCCGTGCTCTCAAGTTTGGCCATGCCAACCTCGTCCCAACACAACGGTGTACGACATCTCCTCCCATACAATGCCTCGTATGGAGGCATACCAATACTCGCCTGATAACTATTGTTATAGGCAAACTCTACAAGTGCTAAATGGTTGTCCCAACTTCCTTGGAACTCCAATGCACAAGCTCTCAACATATCCTCCAAAATCTGTATGACCCTCTCAGATTGTCCATCCGTCTGTGGATGAAAAGCAGTGCTAAACTTCAATCTCGTTCCCATAGACTCTTGGAACTTCGGCCAAAATCGTGATGTGAATCGTGGATCCCTGTCGGATACAATGGTTATAGGAACCCCATGTAGCCTCACGATCTCATCCACATACAATTTGGCTAACCTTTCGA